AAACTGCCTGTCTTCCTGCTGACAATATAAATGTCAGGTTCATGCTTCAGGGTGATGCAGTGTTTTGCCTTCTGTAGAGAGAAATTGATGATTAATAATTTAGCTTCACCAAATCTCCCCATTGACAGTGTTCCATCAATAAATTTTTCACATACACATTTGAGAGAGCTGCAGGGCCAGAAAAGCAAATGCAAGGGACCTGTCCCAAATTTCTGATGTAAAGTCATTCCTCTCCAGCCAGTATTTCCGGGAATCCATTCTGAATGACATCAGGAAGGCCCGTACCCTCTACACAGGCAAAGAACTTGCAGCAGAGCTCGCAAGGATTCGACAGCGAGTGGATAACGTTGAAGTCTTGTCTGCTGACATTGTAATAAACTTGCTGCTGTCCTACAGAGACATCCAGGTATGAATCCTGTCCTCCAACATTATCTAAATCACAGTAAATTAAATTACATTCTCAGTGAAATTTTTAGTGTATTTTGCACAGATTTGCTAAAAAACTATCTGAATGATGTACACTAGTAAAAATCTTTTATACTATCTTCACTAATGTTTTTTACTTTATTTTGTAGTTACACTGTTTATAGTGTGCCTTTACATAGCAGAAAAATGTTGCTGGTTTATAACAGCACCTAGAAGGTATACAGCAACTCTTCTTCATCTCAGCATTACTATGCGATCAACAACCCTAGTGTCCCCCACTTAAAGGCTAAGGGTAGCATTCTGCTATTGATATGTATATTTGTTCTTTGTCACCATGCTTGTGACACTACTCATGAAAACATATGTCCATCTGCATTTCAGCTTCTGGAATGGTGCTAGAAATTGCTTACTTTGTTATATGTAATTTCAACTGTTGCTCCTTAAACATTTTGAAGTGGTTTGGGTTTTATTTTGGTTGTTTGCTTTTTAAATAGATCAGCAAGTAAGCTCCTTTAAAAACTGTGGTGTTGAAAGATTCTTTTATTTTGTTTAGGTGTGTAGGACATGCCTACTTCAGAGTTTTGGGATGCTTCAATTCAGATGCAGTTAGCATTGTAATGTCGGTACTATATGAACTCTGATATGCGTTCAGCCCCTGAATCTAATCTTAATAATGAAACAGATGTACTAAAATTTCCACAGGTCCATGTTGAACCACTCAGTACAGGACTGTGTTTCCCTGCTAAATATTGTGCATATTCACATTTCTGATGATTACTAAGCTATTTACAGTGTGAGACTGAGGAAACTGAAATCTATAAAGCTTACAATGAACTCTGAATACTTTTTAGTATGAAATAGTAGGTCAAAGAGGAGTTTATGTAGGCATACCTTGGTACAGCCACTTAAAACTTCATTATTCCCTTATTTTGGAAGGATTATGATTCCATTGTGAAACTGGTGAAAACTTTAGAAAAACTACCTACTTTTGACTTGGCTTCCCACCACCATGTGAGGCTTCATTATGCATTTGCACTGAGCAGGTAAGAAACTACCCTTCCTTCTGCTGTTGAACAGTAAATCAGAACTCCAAACTTTACACAGAATTGATAATCCTGGGTGAAGTTCCCTACTGGAATCTTCATATGCAGCTCTAGGGTTTTCACTGAAGCAACTCTGGGGATTCATGTTCGTGATCAATCTAAGCTTTCCTTACCTCTTGTACTGTCAAATTCCATTTCTTTTCCTCTAGAGTGGGTGTTTGATTTGTTCTTATACTTCTTTGGTTCTGCTGGCACTCCTTGCAGACTGAAAAGTCTGTTTTTATAGGTGTGACTGTAAGATAGAGCCTTTGATGTGTGTATCTGTACTTGTCATCTTTCATGATAAGTATCTGTCATACAAAAACTCTCCACAGTACCTCCGAAGGACTTTGGATTGGATTTTCCTCTCCCTCCTTTCTCCAGATTGTACATTCAACTGGAATCCATGACAGCCATTAAAATGTTCATGCTTTGGTGTTTGCCAAGGAGGAATTACTTAGCTAATTGTAGCTTTCTTCTTATTGGTAATATAGAGGATATTTCCTAAGGTAAGGCAGGTCTTGAATATTCTGTACATCTGAATGTTTGCTGTGGAAGCAGCTGCCCCTCATGCTTCTAATCCAGGTCACTAGTACGGAAGGCTGGAGCAGCTCAATTAGTCAGGATTAGTCTGACCTAAATCAAGAAAATGTGTGACTGCATTGATGATGGAAGAGTAAGCAGAAAGAAAAGTAGTGACTTTTGTCTATGGAGATCAGCAAAGTCTAAATGGCTTAAATTACAAACCACTGTGCCTTACTGGTTTTATTCTTATTAAGTTCAGCTAGCTAGTGGTTTGATCTGTATTAGCAATTGTCAATACGAGATATGGAAGAGCTATGTATCTGAAACTCTGTTCTGAAAATTGCCCTTCTGTAATGAAAGCCAGATGAAAAACATGACGAAGCAGACTTACTCTTACTGCTTTACCTGAGTGATCAATATGAGAAGACGTAAAGAAGCAAATCTTCAACAGCTAGGCACATGATGAATTGTCAGGGGAACTAACAAAGACTTGAAGGAGACTGTTACTTGCACATCCAGGAGTAATTTATTTCTCTCCCCAGAGCCTGGGATTGTAAGCAGTTGTCCATCTCAGATGAGTACACCAGCCTTTTGTGCCACTCTAGAAGTATTTGGGGAGCTTGCTGCAGTTCTGTAGTCTGAGGGGACTTGTCCTAATTTGTTAGAATTTGACTGGTCTAAAGGTTGGGAAGAGATGGCACTGGATATCATCTACCTTTATCATCAGGCTGAGTCAGAAGCAGAGGTTGTCCCAGCACATAGACTTGCACACACTGTTTATTTTTATCTTCAGGTAAAACCGTTTATACTATCTGCCCAAACAAGTGCTTTTGCTCTGTTTTTATAATTATCACTGTTTGGTTGTTGTTCAACCTCTGCTACCCGTTCTGCTCGATCTTTTTTTCCACATCATTCCCTTCTGGAGCTGCATACATGAGCTCAGAGATCAAGAGCTCAGGTATTACAGTACATGTGCTCTGATCTCTGAGGTTTTTCACTGACACTGCCTGTGCAGATGCATCAGAACTTTGATAAGTTCTTGTAAAGGGGGAAGCAAAAATCCATTACTGAACCTCTGATCAAGTAGTGTCTGTTTTAAGATGGCTGTGGCTTTTGATGTGGTGTATTTTCTTTTTGAAGTAGCCTTGTTTTGCAAGCTTCTTCAGGGCAAAGCTTGCGAGACAGATACAACATGACTTTTATGTATTTTCCCCAATTCAAATTGTAGCCACTCAAATATTACAAGCAATTTCTCCAAAAGAACTTAATACTCTCCCCAAACTGTCAATTAGTTCTTGCTGAGGAAGGAGTCATTTACTTGTTCAATACACTAATACGTAAAAAATGCTAAACTCTTGATACCGAATGATACATGTATCCAAACTGTGAGTCACCAGGAAGTGTCTAATAATTGCAATTATGTGGTTTATTTGTCTGATGTACTTTTGTAAATATTAACTTATTGGCTTCACTTCCTAACCTTCCCTTTCATGGGAATTCAGTCTGGTTTGTGCTTTTTGCGTTTTGGTGGGTTTTTTGGGGTTTGTTTTTTTTTTTTGCTTCACATTCAAAATGTATATTAAAAAAAATTACTAACAAGTTGGAATCTTTTTTTACTTTAAAACATGAATTACTATGAAAAAATATTAGCTATGAAACCAAGGTTTGTGTCTATTTTGTAAGAAAGTAACACGTGATCTTTCTAAGAATTGCCATTGAGGCTCTTGGTGCTTGTTAGTGCTTCGCTCTAGCTGATGCTTCATGAGAGAGAGAAAGTGTATTTGGGGGCTGGTATAGAGGTGTCCTGTGATATTATGTAAAGAAAAAAAAGGAAGGAGGGGGGAACTGAGTATATACAATATAGTCCATTGTGTCTAGAAGCACATTTACATGGATGAAGTCATACATGTATATTCAACCATAGTAGTAGAAAAGTATTTCTTGTTAACTTTATTGGCTTTTTAATCATTTTTTTTCTATTTTTCTATAGACGAAATCTGCCTGGAGATAGACAGAAAGCTCTAGAAATTATGATTCCCCTGGTAGAACAGGAAGACCAAGTAGCCTCAGATATGTACTGCCTAGTTGGCCGAATTTACAAGGACATGTTTTTGGAATCTGGTTTCATAGATACGGAAAGCAGGGACAAAGGGACGTTCTGGTGAGTACTGTTTTTCTGGTCTGTGTCCTTTTGGTAGCTTTGGGAAAATATTCCTTAAACAAGAATATATTTCAACTGTTTTTTTCATGCCATATATTTGTCATCCTTAAGGGATACGCTGAATATCCTAATGTTCTTCACTTAGTTGTTAGGAATGAGAGATTTATGTTGTTAACAGATCTGGTTCTACAAAGTTCTTGAAGTGCCTCAGAGAGTTGTGAATTTAGGTAGTTCTCATCAGAGTGTATTTTTCTCCTTCACAAATGTGAAGTCACCTAGTCATCTATTTACTGTATTGTTATTATTCTTAGGTGCTGAGGGCTGAGGTTTAACTCTGCATTGATGCTTAGGATGTAGCATTCTGTCTTTTTTGTCATTTGTTTTTTTTGGGGGTTTTTTTTTTGGCTTCCAAACTCATGCTGGCAAAAGTTTTATTTATCACCCCATCATCAACATATAGTATATGTGCATATTGTAGTGGACTACAGTACCATCATAGAATCGTAGAATCATAGAATAGTTA